AGAGTCTCAAAGGCAGGGAAACGCCAGCAGTTTGTAGAAGTTGGGCCAACAACTGACAAGACTACCTGCTTGCCCAACCTCACTGACCCTTACCGAGTCACAGTACCGATTCACGCCATCGATCGGGCTCGGATGAATAAGGAGGGTCCAGCGACGGATTGCCCAGTACTGATTCACGAGAAAATACAAGGAGCAGCAGTGAAGATTTTGATCGACGGAGGAGCAAGTCACAGCTTAGTTAATACCGCGACTGCGCGGAAGCTGGAACTGGCACTTAATCGGTGTTTACCACAGATAGACGTACGCTTAGTTGACATACGGGAGATGGTCGAACGAGTAAAAATTCGCTGCGGGGGGAACTTCGGGTTTACACAGGAGATGCTCGCGACGACATTGGATGGGCACGACATTTTACTGGGATGTGATTGGCTGCGACGGTATAACCCATGAATCGAATGGACGACGGGTAGGTGCACTGTGCAAAGTAGCGATAATTGGGTCGAACTACCTCGCTGGCAGTCGCCCGAGTCTTCAACGGTCCACGTCAACGCCAGCACGATGAAACGGGCTGTTGCCGCTGGAGCTGACGTGTACGTGGTGGATATTGCAGTGGTAGGAGAAGCAGAGCAGCCGAGTGATTTTCAGAAACTGCTAGCAGCAGTACCGCCCGAACTACAGGAACTATTGAAATGGTACCCGGGGATATTTCCCCATGACTTACCGAAGGGGCTGCCACCTCAGCGGGCAGACGATCACCGAATAGAGTTAGAACCTCGGGCACAGCTAACTGTACAATGATAGTTCAGCCTGACACAGCCCGAGCTTGACGAACTGAGGAAGCAGAAAAAAACATCCGACCGAGCTCGTCATCATTCGCCCCACCGATACTGTTCACACTGTAAAGGGACGGATAGTTTCGCATGTGCAACGACTACAGGGCATTGAACAGGGTTACAGTCAAGTCGCGATACCCCATCACCTGCGCCGACGAACTGATATATCAACTGCGAACATCACGGGTCATTTCGAAAATAGATTTACGGGGAGGTTACCATCAGATTAGGGTCGAACCATCGGACTGTGCCAAGACAGCATTTAGGACTAGGTACGGGTCATTCGAATACACCGTGATGCCATTCGGGCTGACCAACGCACCAGCAAAGTTTCAGATTACCATGAACGAGGCGTTTATGCCACTCTTAGATAAATACGTGATTGTTTTCCTCAACGACATCCTCGTCTACAGTCGCGACAAGCAGCAGCATTTAGCAGATCTAACAGTAGTGTTTATAATTTTAGACGAGCACCGCTCACTGACTAAGGGTTCCAAGTGCGAGTTCTTTCAGGACTGGCTAGAATTTCCGGGGCACGTCATTTCGGAGGCTGGGGTTGAGATCGACCCAAAGAATCTGGACATTGTGAAAGCGTGGCACCCCCCGACAAATATCACGGAGCTGCAGAGTTTGTAAGGGTTATGTCTGTCGATTCGTCCCCGACATGGCACGGTTAACAGCCCCACTGATGGACCTGCTGCGGAAGGGGGTCGCTTTTACGTGGGGGAGAAAGAGCGTGCTGCCTTCTCTGCCCTTAAAACCGCCCGTACTGCGCATTGCCGACCCACACCGCCCATTCAAAGTGGTAAGAGAGGCAAGCGACAACGCCATCGGAGCCGTACTGCTACAGGATTTCGGCAACGGCCTACAACCCATCGCATACGAATTACGAAAACTGCATCCGCCCGAGAAAAACTACCCGATACACGACCTCGAAATGCTCGCGATCATGCACGCATTCAAAGTGTGGCGCTGTTACTTGATCGGCGCAGACGAGACAGTACGGACACACCACAAATCACTACAGTACCTCCACACACAGCCCCACCTCAACCCACGACAGTTCGCTAGCTCGATTTCCTCGAGTCACACTTCCACTACACGGTCACCTACAAAAGGGGGGCATCGAACATCGCCGAGACACTGGCCCGCCCCACTGCCCAAATCCACGCTATACTACTCGCCCAAACCAGCCCGCTACTGACAGGACTATTTACCCACGGATAACAAACGGACCCATTCTTCACAGGGGGGAATTCGCAGCAGTTTGCTGCAGCAAAGGTGGTTTATTACGTAAATGCCGGCACCGACCACATCTGGGTTCCGGGCTACAGGTTACTTCGGGAATTACTGCTATAGGATGCACATGACGTAGTTACCACAGGTCATTTCGGCGTAGAGAAAACACGGCAACAGCTGCAGCGGTATTACTACTAGCCCGAAATGCTGACCGACGTGCAACGACACATGGCATCGTGTCCCACCTGCCAGCTCATGAAATCATCATGGAAGCGGCCGGCAGGACAATTGTAGCCGATACCACCCCCAGAGCGTGCTTGGCAGCAGGTGACGATGGACTTCGTCATGGGGTTACCGGTTGAGGCAAGTGGGAACGATGCAATCCTGGTTGTCGGCGATCGGCTGACGAAGATGGCACATTTTGCAGCCTGCAAGAAATCAATCACAGCCGAAGAAACAATCTGCCTCTTCATCTCCACCGTCGTTCGACTACACGGGATACCAGCAGCAATCAACAGCGACCTCAACACGAAATTCACTAGCAACTTCTGGTGGAACATGTGGCAGCAGTTCGGCATACGACTACAGTTTAGTTCTTTGTACCACCCCGAGACCGACGGACAGACAGAACGGACAAACCAAACCATGGAGCAACTTATCCGACCCGACCACTTGGGAACATCAACTGCCACTCATCGAGTTCGCGTACAACAACTCGCCATCCGCCACAACCCAACAATCACCGTTTTACCTGAACTACGGACAAGACCCCACAGTACCGATGACCCCGAATACCGACAACCCAGTACCACGCGCGCAACAGTTCGCATAAATTTTACAGGCAGCACGGACCCGAGCAGCAGACACAATAAAAATATCAAGCACCATCGCTAAGCGCAACGCCGACCGCCACCGCCGACCTGTCACTTACCAGCCCGACGACCTCGTACTACGCGACACTCAAAACATCGTGCGTAGCGGAATGCAGGCCCCAGGATATCAGGGCAAAACATCCTGATTACCCTGAATTTTGGATGCATATTTGATTTTGCCTTGTCATTTCAGAATACCAGTGTCACTTTTAACCCTGAGCTCTCAAGATGTTTTTATATGAAATGCCCTGGAAAATCAGGATAGTTGTGGTTGTGGTTACCGTTTCCCGCGATTTTTTTCCTCGTAAAAAATTCTGCGGCGGATTGTTTTTCCCGTGTATTTGTCCCGCCTTCGCCATCCCCTTGCACTTTCGACCCTGCGCAACGCAACAACCAACCCATCAGATGGGGAAAACAGGGAACACTCCCATCTCGTCGTGTGCCATGCATGCACTAGGTGGGTGACTCTCTGCTGTTGAGCCTCCTGGAACACCCTTCCAGTGTTGCTGTTTGAGTAGCTCAGCTGGCTCACTTGCACTAATAATGGCCAACGAGGACAATGTCGCGGCGCCAGTATCATCGGCAAACCCGGTCTTAACTAGTCGACCACAGGGTTTGACAGGATTAGAGTTCTTGCGTCCTGCCCAAACCGTATCCACCTTACCGGAAGTTTCACCCACTGCTAGTTCATCTCCAACTCAAGTAATAATACCGCCCCGTGCTAGTACAATCCCCACCAATGTTTTACGACTAGGTGCAACACGGATCGGCCCTGCCGCTAGTGCTAAGTTAAAAGCGACCAAGCACAAACAGTCGCGCTTGTCTTTCTGTCGAGATAGTCCTACGGAACCTACCGTACGCATCCGCATAGAGCCAGTAGTACTAGGACCATCTGCCGTTCCTGCAACATCTTCGTCTACTGAGGAACTGACCGATGAGGCAGAAGAAAAATACCAGGAGGCGCTTATGAAGTACAAACGGGAATGGTCAACCGATTTCCCGTGGTTCGTGCTTTGTCCAACCTCCTTCGGTTTCCCTTCGGTGAGGTGCAGTTTGTGTATGGTGCACGCAGGACACGTCACAAACTACGGCGCTGCTGGCGAAGGTGCCGTCAACGTCCAAACCCAAGCATTCCGCACACATCAAAGATCCAGGAAGCACAAATGGTCCGTCAAGAGACAGGCCCTGGCGGAGCAGGCGGCTGAGAAGCAGCAGCGCATCATCGATTGCCCAAAGACTGGAGACATCCAGCGTGTAAGAGTCATTGCGCTGCTGGAAACCCTGCTTTTCATCTGCAAGTGTGATGCACCGATTGAAATGTGGGTTCAATTAGTTCGGCACCTTGCAGAGCGGCAGACACCAGGCTTCCCTAAGAATGGCTACGGTGCTTATTACACCAAGTGAGCCGCGAGTCAACAATGTCTGCTATAGTCGAGAACTTTAGTACGGAGATTGCTCACAACTTTCACACCGTTACTAACCCACAGTACCTTCTTCCGTTGGACGCGGATACGGGTTTGCCGAGCACATCGCAAGCACTGCAATATATCTGCGCGTTCGTCAGGACGTCTGGTTGCAGTTTAGTCCATTTATCGGACTAGCATGTGACGAGAGTAAGGATCGTGTGCGCGGCAAACACCAGATCGTGTTTGCCACGTTTCTCCGTGACTCTCGTGTAGTCACGGAGTTCATCGGGCTACTGACGGTGGAGAACTGTGATGGCGCTTCGTTGCTTTCCTTGTTGCTGACAAACCTTGACTCACTTGGTGTTGACACAAGCAGGATGGCTGGGATTAGCACGGATGGCGTAGGGGCGATGATGGGTAGCACAAACGGGCTGGTGGCTCGGCTCCGTGTACGGGTTCCGCACCTCTTCTCCAGCCATTGCATTGCACATCGGCGAGTAACACTCATTGCCTGTGTGTGTTGCATCTGAATGCCCATCACATTGCGCAGAAACAGCAAGGCAGGTAGGCGCTCACATGATCACCAGCTCATGCCATTCCTCACCCATTTTGTTTCCCCCCTCCTTTCCCTCCCCCCCCGACGGACATCAATGGCCCACAGAAACATTCGTGGCCCCTTCTCTCCCTGTCACCCTCCCTTCTCTCGTGCCCACATCATGTCGCGCAGAGAGGCGATGGCAGCCAAGGACGCCGCCACTGCAGTCCCTGAGCTGGGCCTAATCGACACCATGCTGAAAGAACTCGCGGAGTACCCGGGAAGGTCGCATTCCTCTAACAATGAGTTCAAAGAGCTGCAGGAGGTGTTCTGCCAGACAAACCTTGAACTGCAGGGAATTCACGCAGTTCGTTGGCTGAGCCGAGGCGATGCCATTGCGCGCTTGGTGCGAGTGCTCCCTGCCGTCATTGTGCTCCTGTGAGGGTGGGACGACGACTTCTACCCCATTGTGACTTCTGTGATGTTCAATGTGTATCTCTAATACCTCGCCAACATGCTCATCATCCTCAACAACCTCAACCTGGAGTTTCAGAAGCGGGTGGTGAGTTGCCCCCGCTTCCCTCCTCGGCCTTCCCTCCCCGGCCTTCCCTCCCCGGCCTCCCCTCTCCGGCCTTCCCTCCCCGGCCTTGTCTCCCCGGCCTTCCTTCCCCGGCCTTCCCTCCCCGGCCTTGTCTCCCCGGCCTTCCCTCCCCGGCCTTGTCTCCCTGGCCTTCCCTCCCGGCCTTCCCTCCCGGCCTTGTCTCTCTAGCAACCGGGGGAAATTTCCTGTGCTGCTGGCAATCAGCGCGCACTGGAGCCTTGCCTTTTGCACCGAGCCTGAGGTTGCATGCAAACGTAGCCTCCTTGCCCCGCATCTCCCCCTTCTCCCTCCCCGACTCACCCTTTCCTCTGTCCCTTCTCTGCCCCGTCTTCCCTGCTTCTCCCCTTTCTCTCCCCGCCCTTGTTGAAACTATACCTTGTCATGTGGCAGGTCGACATGACATTGGTGCAGGCGACCATGCACCGCACCTTGATCACCATCCGTACGCGCTACATTGAGTGCGGCGATGACTTCAGTGGCGGCCCACAACAACATCTCGGGGCCTTCCTAGCCATGCTCAGTAAGTCTCGAAAAGTCACGGTGGATGGCGTGGACAAGGAGGGGCGGCCACGAAAACATAGCTTCGAGCTGCACGAGGAGGCATTGATGGGCTACAGCAAGACCCTCGATGACTTGCAGTCGTGCCTCGACGTCTGCCGCCGCCACGCCAAGTCAACGCTCAGCCACCTCCAGTCGAGGCTGGGGGATCTCGATAGCCTGAACGGTGTCAGGCTTTTTATGCCAGACACGTACCCTGATGACAAGGAGAGACGCGCTGAGGAGTGCCTCGAGCACTTCGAGACTCTCGTCGACTTGTTCCATGCCTGCGAGCGAGCAAACATTCTCCCAGGTAAGCACATCTAGATCGCCTTACCCATTCTGTCCTTTGTCCAGAATCTGCATTGTTCTGTCCCTGCTTTGTGTCAATCCAGAATCTGCATTGTTCTGTCCCTGCTCTGTGTAAATCCAGAATCTGCCTTGTTCTGTCCCTGCTATTTGTAAATCCAGAATCTGCCTTGTTCTGTCCTTGGTCTGTGTAAATCCAGAATCTGCCTTGTTCTGTCATTGCTGTGTGTATAACTAGAATCTGCCTTGTTCTGTCCCTGCTCTGTGTATAACCAGAATCCGCCTTCTTCTGTCCTTGTTCTGTGTGTAATGCGTGGCAGGTGTGGACAAGCGTGCTGCCAAGAGGGAACTGAGGATATTCGTCCCTGTCCTGGCTGGCAGTCCTCAAGGCGAGCGCACTTTTCAACGCGACCTGACGGCCATGCTGAAAACGAAGGACTGGGAGCGGAGCTACTGCAACCTCGTCCGCCTCTGGACGGTGGCTGTCCTGCCGCTCAGAACCGTCGAGTGTGAGCGCGGCTTTAGCCGCCAGAACGTGATTAAGTCATGGCAGAGGACCAGCCTCTGTGATGCCAGGCTCAGTGACCTGATGTGCATGAGCCTGGTTGAGTATGACATGGAATGGGGTAAAGTTGTTGATTCGTAGCGCAACAGCAAGAAGAGGAGGCCTATTAGGAGAAGGGAGAAGCAGATGCACAAGCCAGTGAGTGCGGAGGGAAAGGGGAACGTGTTGGAGGATGGACAAGAAGTGGATACCGAACATGGCAGCAGCAGCAGCAATGAAAGTCGGTTTAGTAGCAGCAGCGATGATGATGATGAGGAGGAGGAGGGCTAAGAGCAGGTGTAGGAGTTAATTTAGTGATAAAACTCCAACTGTATGTGCTGCTCTGCTCTGCTCTGCTCTCCTCTGCTCTGCTCTGCTCAGCAGAGTCTGGTCTGGTCTGGTGTGTGTTAAGTTCTGAACCTTGAACACATGTTTTGTGCCCTGACAGGTCAGGATTGATTTCTGCAGAAGCCCTGAACATACAAAATAGTTTTGAAAATTTGCCTTGACAAATCAGTGCATTTTTTAAGATTCCAGAAAAGTGCCCTGAGGCCTCAGGGTGCCCCAAATGCTAGCACGAGCGTTGGCGGAATGAATGTGACTAGCAGGAGATGGGCTCAAATATGAAACCTAGAAGGTCTTGTAGACTTGTACCCTAAACAACGCAACTCGATGTAGCCTAACAAACTCATATAACATTTGACACACCCTCATAGGCCAAGTGAGGGGCATAAAGGCAAGCAAGGGAAAACAAACGGTCACAAGACGAGTCAAGACAAGTAACAAAAAAAACTTAAGGTGGATCACGATGTTCGAATGTGAATTTGTATATATAGCTGCATGTAGATCGCCATCAGAAAAATTCCAATCCGCCCAAAAAGGAGCGGCGAGGACTTGTCAAGTATTTCTTTGTTGATTACGAATGATAGAATGAATAGACTAGAATGAATGGACCATTTTTTTGTTGTGGTTTAGGAAACTTGTCAAGTATTTCTTGGCTAACGTTCCGTTAGCTTCCAGTACGAATATTTTGCACATGTTTTGGTTTTTCTGCAATGTTGTTGTCAGAATCCCAACCACTAGACCATTGGGATAAAAGGGCTTGTTAAGTAGCGGGTCAGTGCGCCCATAACCCCCCAGGCCAACGTGCCTATAACCCTTCCCTAGGATCAATCGGGGATCACCAGTGGACCTCTGACACCCCCCCGCACTGGGATGCCCGAAGTGCACACACCGGGATTCGAACCCGAGACCTTCGCTCTGATACCATGTCAGAATCCCAACCACTAGACCATTGGGATAAAAGGGCTTGTTAAGTAGCGGGTCAGTGCGCCCATAACCCCCCAGGCCAACGTGCCTGTAACCCTTCCCTAGGATCAATCGGGGATCACCAGTGGACCTCTGACAGTTGTAATATAGTATGCTTCTTATGTTACAAGTGTGGTATGGTATTGGATGTGCCTAGCGTGATTGTCTGTGCTTTCAGCTATTGTACCCTACTTATTGGCAAGTTGGTGACAATAACCATCCACACCTTTCCATTGGTGTCAGTCCACCACGCAGCAACTCGTTCACCACTGAAAGCCCCCAAAAACAAACAATTACCAGATACTTGTTTCTCGAATTCAGTCACGTCGAATTCGACTTGAACAGGTAGGTCATCAACCCGTCGGTCAAACTGTCATTACTATTGCCCAAGATCCGACCACTTTGAAGACTTACGACGAATTCGTTTCTCAACTAAACACAAATTCGCTTAGTACGATTGCGCGCGGTAGTCTTAGCTACCACCTCGAAGTTGAATTAGGTCAAAAGGTGGTCAAGGGAGTGAGAACCAATAAAAAACGTATAGCTGCTACTTTCACTAGAAAGGATGTAGGAAGAACAAAAATTAAACACGGAATAAGGAGTTGGGGTGTTTCAAGAAAACCTTGTGAGGGAAGGGCTCTCCAAATGCTTTGGAAGGATGGTGGGAACCTTCCTAGCATCAAAGATGCAACCCTCATGATGAGGTCCTTGAGGTGTCACATGCAAAATCCAATCCAATTGGATTTTGCCTAGGTGTTGGAACATTTGCAACCCAAGCTAGAAACTTCTAGCCACTCCAATTCAAAAGTCAAAGTTGCCTTCCTAACCACCCAACCAAAGATCTCTATATAGTCATGACTCAATAATATTCCAATTTAGTTAATATCCAAAATTAAGATAGGATTCCCAAACCTTGGAAATCTTGTAACTTGGGCGATCTTGGTCGGAATAAGGCGATATTGGTATCGTTGGAAAGCTATAAATTTATCCTGCGCGATCAAGCATTTAGACTTGGAGAAAACACAGAGGTGATAAAATCCAACAGCCATACATTGTGATTTATGCTCATGCAAATGACGCAAGCATGAATTGCACGATCACAAGGCAGGACGTTAGGATGATATACACTCATACTGACGTGCATATAACATTTTCCACGGAGCTTATACACACATCTACGCAGCACGTGACTCTTGTTTGTGCGTTCAATGGCCCGATTTTTTTCAAGGATATGCCGATACGCAACATGTCACAACTTCGTCGTTTGGTTGTTTTTTTTAGCACATTTGTTCACACATTCATGTATTTAAAACAATTACCTTGCCATAGGAACCGGTTTGAGCTCATTCAAACAACACAGCACGTGACGCTTGTTTGTGCATTTGATGGCCTGAAAGTGTGCAAGGATAGGCAAGTACACAACATGTCACCGTTTCATCGTCTGGTTATTGTTTTGGCACCATTTGTTCACCCATTCAGATAGTGCAACCAATTACATTGCCATAGGAACTGGTTTGAGCTCATTCAAACAACTACGCAGCACGTGGCGCTTGTTTGTGTGTTCAAGAGCCAGAAACTGTGCAAGGATAGGCTAGTACGCAACATGTCACCGTTTCATCGTCTGGTTGCCATTTTAGCACCATTTGTTCACGCATTCAGGTAGTTCAATAAATTACATTGCCATAGGTACTTTTTTAAACTCATTCGCACAACTACGCAGCACGTGATGCTTGTTTGTGTGTTCGATGGCCTACAACTGTGCACGGATAGTATAGTATGCAAAATGTGTCAACAGGAGTTGTGTGTGGCCCCGTCGTTGCTTGGGCGGAACGGATCTCGTGGCCGGGTGTACGGGGGAGTGCAGCCGACCTGCAGCAGTGGGCGTGCTGGTCGACGTGGAGGCCGACCTGCACGAGGGCCACTGCGACGGGCGCCGACTTCTGGGCGCCGACTTGGGGTGGTCGACTTGGTCGTCGACCGGAGCTGGTGGTCGACGAGGGAGGGCCTGACGTCGACCTTGACAGGGGAGGCTGTGGACACCGAGCAGTTGGGCGTCGAGTATCAGGGCGCCGGGGTGGAGGGCGCCGACCTTAGGTGGCCGACGACTTGGCGAAGTCGGCGGCCTGGTCCCTACGTGGGCGACGATGGGACGCCGACCAGGGAGGACGCCGACCTGACGGCGTAGACCTGGTTGCCCGGTCGATGTGGCTGGTGGGCTCAGTCGTTGGCATGGAGTCTGCCAGGCGTCTGTGCTGGACTCATGATGAGGCGTGGAGCTCCAACCAGCTGCGCGCACATGGTATAGAGCAGGTTCCCTAGTGGGAACGTTTCCTAGGGCCCACCACGAAAATCGATTTTTTTTTTTTCCTGCCCGGAGCGCGCTTCGCCCCTGCCCGAGTCGCGCCCCGTGTGCCTGCCCTCCCGTCGCGTCCCCTGCCCTTAGCGGCCCGTCGCGCCCTCTTACGGCCCCGTAGCGGCCCCTCTCACGGCCCCTCACGGCCCCTCTCACGGCCCTTCGCGGCCCCGTCAGGCCCCTCGCGGCCCCTTCGTGGCCCCTCGCGGCCCCTTCGCGGCCCCGTCGCCGCCCTTCGCGGCCCCGTCGCCGCCCTTCGCGGCCCCGTCGCCGCCCTTCGCGGCCCCGTCGCCGCCCTTCGCGGCCCCGTCGCCGCCCGTCTCGGCCCCGTCGCCGCCCTTCGAGGCCCCTTGCGGCCCCTCGCGGCCCCTTCGCGGCCCCTTGCGGCCCCTTCGCGGCCCCGTCGCCGCCCTCCCCGGCCCTGTCGCCGCCCTTCGCGGCCCCGACGCCACCCCTCACGGCCCCGTCGCCGCCCTTCGCGGCCCCTCAGGCCCCTTCTCGGCCCCGTCGCCTCCCTTCGCGGCCCCTCACGGCTCCTTCGCGGACCCTTCTCGGCTCCCTTACGGACATGCCGCCCCACCGTCGCCGCCCCTGCAGCAGCAGCCGCCGCCGCCGTTGCCGCCGACAGCAGCGGCCGCCGCCGACAGCAGCGGCCGCCGCCGTCACTCCCGGGGTCGCAGCCGTCGCAGCCGCCACCAGCAGCAGCCGGCGCCACCACAGCCGAGGCTGCAGCCGCCGCAGCCGCTGACTGCAGCCGCCGGTGCGCCTCGGCCCTGCCGGCGCGCCTCGGCCCGTCCCTGCCGGCGCGCCTCGGCCCGTCCCTGCCGGCGCGCCTCGGCCCGTCCCTGCCGGCGCGCCTCGGCCCGTCCCTACCGGTGCGCCTCGGCCCTGCCCCACCACTTGCGGCCCTCTGCCCTGGTAAGAGCGTCGCTGAACTGCACCCCTACTGCTGCCACTGCTGCTGCTGCCCCTAGCCTGCTGCTACTGCTGTCATGGCTACCCCTAGCGTTCTCGTCTTTGATGCTGAGGGTCGGGCTGTTGACTTTGAGGTCTGGGTCGATGATCTGCAGCTTTTCCTACAGTGCGATAGGAAAGACGGTCTCTCACTGTTCGATCTCACGTCTGGCGCCTCTACTGCCCCTGCTGCCGATGCTGACAGCTCTGTTCGCTCACAGTGGGCCACACGCGATGCTGCTGCTCGTCTTGCTGTGCGTAGTCACCTGCCGTCCACTGAGCGCGCGCACTTTAGTCAGTACAAGAGTGCTAAGACCTTGTACAACGCTGTCATTGCACGCTACTCTTCCCCTGCCACTGCTGCTCTTAGCCGCCTCATGCTACCGTACCTGTTTCCTGACCTCGCCGACTATCCCACAGTCGCTGACCTCATTACGCACCTCCGCACTAGTGACACCCGCTACCGCGCTGCGCTTCCTGCTGAGTTCTGCGCCAAGAACCCCCCCCCCCCCATGTACATCACCCTCTACTACATAGTCACCCGGCTCCCTGACTCCCTTCGCTCGGTCAGGGACCACTTCCTCTCTGTTTGCCCCACCACACTCACCGTTGACCTCCTAGAGGAGCGCCTCCTAGCAGCTGAGAAAAGTATAGTCGCTGTAGGAGCCTCTCGTGG